TCTCTGGTTCCAACCATTCAGAACTCCACTGCCTGGAAGGCCCTTCTCCAGCAAGCACAGCGGCAGATCCTGCAAAGCAATGGTTCTCAGAGCTCAGGGCTTCAGACAGTGCTCAAGCACCTGAGCTACGCCAAGCAGCGGTACGAGTCACAGTCTGGGCCGCTCTTCACGTACGTGTTGCTTTTAGTGCCGATATGCATGGTCCTGTGTGTACAAGCCACTGATGCCGCCATCCCAAAAAAGCAGCGGGAGCGGGCCGCTGCGTGGTTGGAGAACATGAGTCCGCACCACGCTGCTCTGGCAGGCCTTTCTGCAGACTGGGGGCTGGAGTGCTCGGAACTCATTCGGCTGCTGGACGTGGATGCTCGAGACCCGTCCCAGTTCAAACGCTTAGTCTTGAACTGGATCGGCAAGCAGGAGAGGCTCTTCATGGAAGGCCGCATCCTGGAAGAGCCTGTCGCTTCTCATGAAGACGGATCGCAGCTGGCTTCTGCCACATGGACAGCGATCAACAATCTCATGGAGTGCCCGCCAATCGTGTATCAGCAGCGTGTCAAGAGCTTTTGGCACAAAGGCGCCAAGGAAGAAGTACTTCGCGCCGTGGACTCTGTTCAGGTTACGTGTCGAGCAAGCTTGGATAGGCTGCTGGCAGAGTTTACGGACAATTTGGTGTGCGACCTGTCTCTGTTTGACTTGTCCGCCTGGAACCAAGCACAGCAAGGCCCGCCAGATATTTACGATGTTTTCTGTACGAACACTCGGCGAAAACTCGTCCGCCTCTTGACGGCCCTTCATCGCGGAGGCGATTCAGGACGTGTAAGACTCTGCTACGAGCAGATTCTGGGAGCTGCCACCCATTTGGTCCGAAAACACAAAAAGGAGCTGAAGAGCGACGCCTTGATGGACAACCGGCCTCTTTGGGCTTCGTTTTTGGACAGTCCCTCAGAGGTGCGAGAAGTTCTAGGATTGGAGCAGCGGTCGGCCTTCGAGGATTTGTACCATGTGTACAATGCGTACAGTTCAGGTACAAGCCGGACCGAGCGCAACTTGGGAGCTGCAGCGAAACAGCTTCAGGTGCATTGCGGGCCATTGGATGACTCGACGATGGCTTCTCTGACGTTTTTGGCGTGCTCCCCTCTGGAGGAAACATCTTTCGCGATCAGGCCCGAAAGCTTTCAAGATGAGAAGGTCCCCAGGAAGCACAATGACAAAAGTAGCAGCATAATTGAAATGCCAGAGCATGGTCTTTCTTCGTTATACTGAACAGTTAGATAAGAGATCTTTCTCCAGCGTTGAACTTGTTTAAAAGATTCTGCTGAAACTGATCTCGAGGTCTCTCTGGCCTTGACAAAATTGGGACTGCGGTGTGCAGAACTCTGGATCCATCACAATGGCAGAAGGTTTGGGGTGTACGGCACCAAACCGAAGGTGCAAGGGAAAGCATCCCCAAAGCGAAAGCCGGGGTGTAAGGCCACTCTACGTCACAACAGGAACTTGGCAGCAGCGACTTTTGCCAGACCCGGAAGAAAGCGAGGGCAACTCGTCCTTGGCCTCCAGCCCGAAGAGGTGAGTTGGAAATTTGGGAATCTGGCCGAGCATCCGAATATCACGCCCAGTCTTTCTCTTTACCTGAAAGGTACTCAGAGGAAAAAGGAGGCCGGCAAGAAGCGGCGACACGCACTCATGACGCAAGGTAGGGCCTGCGAGATTCCAAAGACCAAGAAACGCTTGGTCTTTCCCGCACCTGCGGAGGCAATCAAGGGCATGGTTCTGGACATGCGTCATGATAATAGGGATCCTGACGATCTCAGGGCGTGGCCGGGATGCAACATCAAAAAGCTGCTTGCTGCCCGCCGAGATGCAGCAAACGCCTTTCAAGCAGCCAAAGTGGCTTCTTGTGTGATCCTCCAGGATGTCAAGCAGGGTTTTCCAATGCGACAGGAGACCGATCGCGCTGTCTATGGGGCTGCCATAGCTGCCACAGCTTTCGGCGCGAGCTACATGGACAAGAAGTCTTGGGAAGCTGGAAACTGGAATGCTGCATTGCATCTGAAGGGAACAGCCGAAACTTTGAAGCTGACTTTGCAAACAACGGCACGCTTTGAGACAAAGCACAGGGACATGTGCGCCTTGTTGTGCCGTGTGTCGTGTGTGGAGAAATCTGGTTGGAAGCTTCTCAGTTCAGACAAGCCGAAACCGAGATCCAATGTGCACTCCATTGATAACCTGGTCGATCTGGTCAAGTTTCTTCACCAAGCTCAGCGAGTACGCGGACCCGCGAATGTCGGGGGATCGCACTTTGCGTGATGGGGCGAAGCAAAAACAAAGCTCTTTCGTGCGCCTAGTCCAGGTCTCGACCCTTTTGTGAGACATGTAATTACATGGTATGCTGGCAGTAGGAAGCCGTCCGAGTCAAACGTCGACAGTAATAATCCACGTCCCATTCCTGCGTGACACTGTGCATGTAAGACCACAGCACAATGCATCGCCAAAACATAAAACAAAACTCCGGGGCAGAGGACAGCTCCGTCCGACTCCCAGGCCTCTCCATTGATTGGACTTTCGAGTGCTGGACCTTCGCGTGGTGGCCGTGGCCTCGGCTAGCAAGAACTGACTCCAGCTTCGTTTTGCTTGCGTGGCATTGCTCTTGATCCTTCTGCCCGAAGGCCGTTCCCTGTGCTCGAAGCTTTGAACTTGGCGTTCTTCTGGTTGGCTCTTTAGACTTTAACTTGTTGGGTTTCTATAGGAACTACTAACCTTTAGGAGGGCTTCAGAAGTACGCCAAGTCATTCTTCACTCGAGTTGACTCAGCCATGACCAGTTACTTCCTGGCCATTCCCGAAGTGACGCCGGAGAAGATTTTGAGCTTGAGGGTGCCGCCCGGCTGTATTCTCCACACGACCAAGGAAAGTGCCCTCATCGCCTCTCGGTTCAACGTGAGGTAAGCCGTAGATTCGGGGGAAGTCTCAAGTTTTAAAGAATCATTGAATCAGTGCTCCCAGGAGAACTACTTCAAGCTGGGGCGCACGCTGGGCTTCACACCGAGCGATGGTTCGCCCGACGACGGCCGTCTCATGCACGTGAAGGTCTCTCGCCGCTTCGAAAAAAGCATGACTCTTTTAGAGATCGTCTTGGGACCGGAGGCCCTCCAGGCCTTCAGCAGCGGCCATCTCAAGCACGATGGCCAGGCCATCCGCGTGACATGCCCGATGGTTGCGACCACCACCACTGGCCACTCCAATGCCAAAGTTGTCAATCTGACGGCCGATAGCATGGTGAAGGCCGTCCATGTCCATCCAAAGCAGGTCTTCGCCACCAATGATGTGACACGGAATCCCGACATGAAGCCTGATCCCAAACTGATGGTCTTCTGGTTGGTGCTCAAGGCAACGGCCGATCCAGATGGCGTTCCCAGCCCCTGGGAGGTACAACCAGGGCTGTTCCAGTACATTCAGAAGAACACCAAGCCCAGCGGCCGTGAATCGCGAGACGAGGCCTCCACAACGACATGGATTTTGTTCACCAACAAAGTGTCGGCCGCTCTCTGTTATCATGCTCACCAGAAGGCCGCTCACGGGAGCCATCATGATATCCCAGTCACAGAGGCCGTTCTCTTCGAATTCGGCCTCTCCCTGCAAGCACTGGCTGGAGCCGGTGATGGGAAAATGAGGCTGGCCAACCACTCGTCGGAGGAGTCGATGTTCGGAGATTACTGGGTTGTCACTTCCGAAAACCAAGCTACGGTCTCCGGATTCCTGGCCGCTCAGGTCGAAGAGAACAAATACGGTCGGCTGCTCCGTGCCAAGCTCGTGGTGAAGCCTTCGGACAACATCGGACACCCGATCGACCTGGTCCAGCAGACTAAGAAGCTGATGCAGAAGAGGCCTGGCGTGTTTGCACCAAATTTTCACATTTTGTTAACTCAGACATTTATTCTCTTCCCATGTTGCAGGAAGCGCGACTGCATCGAAGACTTGGACAACACGATCAGCATCTACAAGAGCAGGCGAGATCTCTTGGCTGATTCGGCTGATGCTCCGGATGCTTCGACTGATGCTCCGGCTGCTTCGACTGACGGCACGGCTCCTTCGAGTGATTCGGATGCCACGGAGAACTGACCTTGGGCCTCTCTTTAGCGAGCTGGAGCCCGCTGACTTTTGACTATCTGCTTTCTGAGTCACATTTTGTGGTAAAGGCCTCTCCCCAAGAGCCACCAGTGATTGCAGATTGCTGCTTGAAGTGCAGCCTGCAGCCTGCAGCAATGCAAGCATCTCAAGACTTTAGCCGCACATTCATGTAATCATATCGGACATATTGACGATCATTCAGAGTGTCAGTCTTCACTTTTGGCAGGCTTCGCGGACTCACGCAGGCACTCTGAAGCTAATCCATTCCTCCCAGCAGAAAGTGCGACATGACCAGTGCAAAGAAAAGGAGTCCACCATTGCATGCTGACCACGGCATCGCCGAATGAACAGGTAGTTGCTGTGAAGCTGCTTTCTGAGGACTGCTGTCCTATGCATTTGCATCCACTGCTGCTGAAACTACTGGGCGACGTTTGTCAGGCTGTCTGGTTCTTCTTGTTCCAAACCACCGAGGAGGCCCTCGGATTGCAGCGTTGAAACATGGGGTGCGAAATAGATGCAACGCCAGGCAGATCCCGAAGCCCAGAGAGGGTCGGTCCTTCCGACCTGTCTTCGTCTGTTTGTTCGCAATGCAGCTGCAGTTACCACTCCATCCACTAGCAGGAGCTGGCAGTTTCCAGACAGATTATGATGCCGATGTATAGGTCTGAGCCCTTTACAGCATGAGCCTCCGTAAAGCATGAAGAGATCATCGGGCACCTCTCAACTCAACATGCAAAACCCCCAAACACCTCAAGCCTCGAAGCTTTCCTCGCTAGCCGTGGAGCCCGATCTCAGGCTTGAGTCCGCTAGGACTCCTGTCCGCTAGGACAGACAGGACGGTAAAACGCAATCGTCCGAAGCCAACGGCCCCACAGTCCCTCCAAAGTTTCCCGGCCCCTCTTCAGCATTGCTGGCGGTCCCCAGGCAGCTGCGGCGGCACTGACAGAAACTCGGCCGTCTCTCTGTTTAACAGTGCCATGTCTTCCTCGATTGCACTTGAGATAAGCTTGGGTGTGGACATATCATAACTTATGATTAAATTAACGCTTCCCTGAATTAAACTCTAATTCCTAAACCCCTCCTCGTCTGGCTGACAGCCGAGTTGCCAGATCGTCAACCGGACCATGTAATACTGGATA